AATGTTTCTAGCGGAAGCACAAACCTTAAGCCAGGCTCCGATTCGGCGCTGGTGATTTAGGGCTTTTGATGAGTCGAAAGCTTGGAAGAAAGCCCTCCGGAAGCGCCGGGCGCCTTTCCTCGAAGGCCGGCCGCTGGCTAACTCAACAGCCTCGCCGCCGCCGACTTAATTGTTCACTGAACAGCACCCTTGACAGGAGAGCAGGGTCGGCAACGGCTGCCTCTCCGTTGGTCCCTGATTTGGGGGAGGGGGCATCGGCGGCTTTCCCTCTCCGTCCCAAATCCTAAAGCCGCCAGCGATCCCGTTCTGGCTAAGGAGGAAGCCCCCAGTGATTGCCCTAGAAGTGACTAAAGGAGTCAACTGCGCTCGGGATCGCAGGCTTAGACTGGCCCCTGAGATCCCCTGATACCAAGAAGCCGTAACTTGGGTTTCTCGCCGGTTACGCGGATCCAAACGCGAGTCACCCTGATCACTAGCGGTGGGACTCAAAAGCTCGGAGTTCTCGGGGGGAATCGCTCGGAAAGACGTCTAAAGACGCCTGTGTGTATTGACAACCCGAGTCACAAGGCACACGAGCCGAAGCAATTTAGGCCCGCTGTAAAAGGGATCTAAATCAATAAGACTTCTCCCCCAGTCCCATGGGAGTAAACCCCACTGATTTATTTGAAAAAGCCCAATGCTATAGATGAGATTTATACATCTGATTTTTCCAGATAAATGACGAAGTCCGAGGGAAAGTTCTCCTGCGCAGTCACCATTGAAATGAACGGGAGCGCCTGCTTTTGCGCAACTCTCAGTCACTTCCGTGGAGGTTTGCTCACAAGGACTTCCGTGTGTGTGTGGTAGTGCCTTCCGTGGGTTTAATTGGAGCTGAAGCGTTTTAGGGGAGGGGGAGAGAATTCCCACCAAGTCAAGACTGCCTTCGAACTAAGGGTGTAAACATCCTTAGCTTAGAAGTCGACCCCCCCTCCCAAAAAATCGGTGGGAGAGACTTTCAGCTAGTGGTTGCAGCCGAAGTCCACGGAATCTTACGGCCAACCTTCCTTGTATTTGAATGGCTCTGGAGGACTCCACACAATCCGGCCCCGGGTGACTCTCCTTCTGCGGGAGAGATCTGGACACGTGCTTGACTCGCCCCGTCGCGATCGGCGCGACTGGAGAGCGCTTCGGCGCGGTCGCGCCCGGAGCCTTTCCTGGGATTCGCTGAAGAGCCCCGCCGGCGCTCGCTCTTGACGGCTGGGTGACGGATGGCCGGCTCAGCTTCGATCCGGGCCCCCGATCCCGATGTGGAGGAGGCCCAACGAAGGATCCCCGCGCCCGGCATAATTCTGGGGCTGATTAAAGCTTTGACGACTTCAGTTGGGGGGGGGGGAAGAAACCCCTCCAATAAACTAAACTAGCCTTTAAATCAGGAAACTGCCGAGCGCCAAGACGCCGATTTCTAACCAACCGAAGGGTGGGTTTTTATTTAAAACAACAACAACGATCCCACGTTTTGTGGGATGTCTCTTAAACCGCTAATGGGGAGGGATGGAGCGGCTGTAAAAGAGACCCTTCGCAGACTGTCGAAGAGGAGCCTCCGCCGCTTGGCACGGGAGAAAAAAGAAAAAAGGACGAGAATTCTTCGCAGGAAGGGAAGAAAAATCGCCGAGATTAGGCAAAGCAGTCAGACGTCCCCCAGGGCAACAATCGGATCCGCTCCCGCAGCTTTTCTCCTTGCCGAGGACCCTCCGGGATTCATTCCGCTGATGGCCTTCGGGAAACCGGCCCTGGGCTGTGCCTCCCTTGCCTGGCCGGGCGCGCTCGCCTTCTCGGCCGCACACACACACACACACACAAGCCAGAAACGCGTCGAGCCAGCCGGGGACTTTGCGCTCTGCGCGCTTAAGCGGATGCTGCCCCCGACCCCTCTGCCCCTTGGAAAGGGAAGGCAAACTAAGGACGTCGGCAGGGCGGCGAAAGGGCTTCGGGCAAGGGGGAATCCGGACATCCAACCCCTTCCCCTCTGCCACAAACCTCTCTTGGAGTTGGTGGGCTTCTTCTACTGCGGCTCACCTTCGCAGCCTGCCGTCTACAAATTGGGTCTTTGAGTAAACACTCACTTTTTGCAGTTAGGCGGGGGGGGGATCCCCTCCACCATTGAAATAATATTTTTGACCTATTTATTTAGGCCGAAGCTGAATGGCCCCGATCCACAGCCCAAGTGTGGCTCCGAAGCCACTCTCTGGGAAGCAAAAATCCCTGTAAATTCAATGGCGCTTCCTCCTGAGTGAACCTGTTCAGGATCGGGTGGTCAACAAAAATATTTAGAAAAGACGGCTACTGAGTTATTCCTCCCCCCCCCCCCCCGGCGGAATTTTGTGCCGAGGAAATCGGCCCGAGGCGTGGGCACCGCGGAGCCGCGCCATCCCGAACAAGTTTACACAGTGGGGTCGATGGGGCTTAATTTCATTTCAGCGCTAGCTCCACTCCACACAGATGGAGTGATTTACTTCGGTGTAAACGTGTCGCGGGGAGTGAGGCCAGACTGCGACTGGAGGCCCACTTTGGAGCGGGCTAAGGTCCCGATTCTAAACACACAGCCCCTTCGATTCCGGTGGAATTGGGACCGGTGAGTCCGAGCGCTGCTCTAGCCAATGGAGCTTTAGCTCTTCCGCAGTTCCGGCCTGGATTGCGGCCATCGGGGAACAGCCCCGCTGACTCCAATGCACCTGGCTTTCAGCGGCTGTGTAGACCAGGCGTGGGTGCACACACGTCCCCCTGGATTCTCCGACGGAACTGGGCTGGGGATTGGTGGGGCTGTAGGTTAAGGATCGCTGAATCCTTTCGCCAAGCTCGGCCTCCTCAGCGGAATCCGGATTCCCGAGGCGAGGAGCGTCCATCTAGTCACCAGGAGGCCGGGAGGTTCCCCTCGGTGCTTGCGCTCTCTTCTGGCTAAATCGGCGCTCCGGTTAATTGGCGGGCGGAGCTGCCGTCTTCTGCCTAGAATTGGCTGCGATCCCAGAGCATTTCAAACAGGGAGAGGCGGCGCAATTAAGGAATCGGCCCCGTTGGATTCGGATTTACTGACTGATAAGGGAAGCAGTCGCGGAATCTTCCGACCTGAAGGTGTTTTGGGGCTAGGCGCATGGAAGGCAAGAGAGAGGAATGGATAGATGGATGTGTGTGTTACGGATTGTGGAGAAATTCGAAAGTCAGGCACAGACTTTCCATCCCATTGCTATACAAACGCCAGCACCCGAACGCCTCAAATACCAAGGGGGTCTCTCTCTCCCCCTCCCTCCCTCCCTCTGCATTTGGATCTGGGCTATTCCAACAGGTGGCTGGCTTGCAGCTTGCCTCTGCGGGCCTTTCTGTCGCTCTTCCCGGTCGCGACACAGTCACAGTTTATGGGGAGTAGAATGTCTAACTCGGCCTCTCGGAAGCCGCCTCCTCTGGTGTCCAGGGGGCTTCCTTGCACGTGAGTGAGTAGCGTCGCTCACGGCCCACTCGGGAGATCCCCACCCCCGAATCCCACAAGCCCGTACGTTGTGCAACTGACTTGCAACGGCGCTTGTTCCGAAAGAAACAGGTTTAGGTCAAAAGGGGAGGGGGAAGGTAAGAACACACCTGTGCTGCACCTCAATATGGTGCTGGTGATTCACAGGAGCATTGCACACTCTGCGTTCCATTGTACCTAGCGGTTTGCGGACTAGGATAACGTAACCCCCTCCCCCATAACTCCGTCCGGGTTTTAGTTAAGGGCTATTCCATAAGGAGGAAGAAAATTTACTTTCTGTGTGAAGATAGCAGGTAGGTGGAGAACTCAAACATTTCACGTGGAGAACGGCCACAGCTCTGGGCACAGCTGTGCATGAGTAGGGAACCAGATCTCGCCGAGTACAGACTTAACTTTGGGCATCCCCGCGCTTTCTATTTTTCGCACATCGATGCTTCAGTTTCACCCAGTGCCGTGAGCATTTTTCCTCTACGCTTTAGTCGACGTAATTCTCAAAGCAACCACTTGGGGTCACGCTTTATGTCCGTTTGAAGTAAGAACCCAGGCGTCAGGAGAAAAAATAGAGCGAGGAGGGCGCCTTAATCTTTCTTAACTGTTACAAAATGCTCAAACAAAAACACAGTCCCGTGGCCGGACGCCCCTCCCCTCGCGCCCCAAATCTTGCAAAACACGTCCTTCTTTGCACGCTGTGGAGGCAGTCTCGGAGAAGGGGAAATCATAGACCATCCCCGGGCCTGAAGCAGAGTTCTGGTGTCCCCGCCCCCGCGCCCTTACGCGGTTTCGCTTGCTTTTAGAGTGACTGCTAACGCGCGCGTGCGAAAGGGGGTGACTTTTCTGCCCCTCTTGACTTACATAACGCCAGCTAGTAAACTGGAGCCTGCAAACCAGGAGGCGAACGTGAAAGAACATATTCTCTGCGTTCCACTCTTCTGTCCAATATACACGTGCACGACTGCGCACGCACGCACGGCCAAACTTTCTCCTCCACCGTTTTGAAACAATACTCCTCCCACTCCCGAAGGGGGGGGGGAGAGTTGCAACCGATTCTCTTCCTTGCAACTCTCATCCCCATCAATCCCCGCTTGCAAAGTAATTCTTTTGTTTCCTTTAGCATAATGGAAAGGGGGGGGAGGGGAGGGAGAGCGAAGTCACGGAACTGCTTGGGACTGGCGGGTCAGTGGCCAAGCCGTAGACAGGCAGGGAAAGGGACGGGGACGATTGATACGTGAAAGAACGGGGGTGAGGGGGGTTTAAAAAAGAAGACCCCCCCCCGGCTGGCTGCGAGGGCCGGTTCTCCAGCTGCCCGTCAGCTGACTGGCTGCGAGCTGTCACCCTCTTTCAAGCCGGGCCCCGCCCCCGGCTACCCCGAGAACTCCGGCGTCCCGGCCGCGATTGGTCGGAGGGCTCCTCGGGCCCCGCCCCCTCCGCCTGAGTGTCAGCGAGGAAGGCGCTATAAGTAGCCAAGAGGGGCGGCTGGGCGAATCACAGCTGTTCACTCAGCGCTGGAGGCTGCGGCTGGGAGCCGGGCGCAGTCCGCTCACTCGCTCGCTCGGCGCTCCGTGCCGCCGCCGCTGCTGCTTCTTTCTTCCGCCCGCCCTTTCGCCGCGCGATCGCCACTCCGCCGCTTGCAAGCAGCCCAGCGCCCACCGGCTCTTGCGCACGGAGCCAGTGAAAAGTTGCGCGGAGAGCGGGTCGCGCAAGACCTCCGGACTTACAAACGCCAGCCAGCGGCAGCCTTTCTTCCCCCGCCCTCCGCTCTGCAGCCGCAGCCGCCTGTGCCGGGCGGGCGCCTTCCGTTCCCTTCTCCCATTCCTTTGCCAGCGGGTTTCTGGCAAGCGGGCCGGGCGCGGGAGCGTGGCAGTGGCCTCTTTTGCAGCGCAGGCGGCGAGCAGGAGCGGCACCGCGCCCGCCCCGAGGGGTGTCGCTGGCTCGCTCGCTCCTCGGCCGGGCTGCGGCGAAGAGCAAGTTTCTGCGGGCTGGCCGGCGGCGAGGCGCTCTGGACCCTGGAGTGAGGCGGCGAGCCAGCGCGCCAGCCCCCCTCCGAGCCCCCCTCCGCCCGCCCCGCCGCGATGGCCGGCGAGCTGAGCATCGGCCCCGAGCTGCCCACCAGCCCCTTGGCCATGGAGTACGTCAATGACTTCGACCTGATGAAGTTCGACGTGAAGAAGGAGCCGCTGGGCAGAGCCGAGCGCCCGGTCCGCCACTGCACGCGCCTCCAGCCGGCCGGGTCGGTCTCCTCCACGCCCATCAGCACCCCCTGCAGCTCGGTGCCCTCCTCGCCCAGCTTCAGCCCCACCGAGCAGAAGACTCACCTGGAGGACCTCTACTGGATGGCCAACAGCTACCAGCAGATGAATCCGGAGACCCTCAACCTCACCCCCGAGGACGCGGTGGAAGCCCTCATCGGGTCCCACCAAGTGCCCCAGCCGCTCCAGAGCTTCGAGAGCTTCCGGGCGGCCGCTCACCACCACCACCATCAGCACCACCACCATCAGCACCAGCACCACCACCACCAGTATGGGGGGGGGACCCACGAAGACCTGGCCGGCCCGGGGCACCCGCACCATCACCACCACCCACACCACCACCAGGCGTCTCCCACCCCGTCGACCGCCTCCAGCTCCTCCCAGCAGCTCCCCAACACGCACCAGCCGCACCCCTCGTCCTCCTCCTCCTCCTCCTCTTCCAGCAGCGTGGAGGACAGGTTCTCGGACGACCAGCTGGTCTCCATGTCCGTGCGAGAGCTCAACCGGCACCTGAGGGGCTTCACCAAAGACGAGGTGATCCGTCTCAAGCAGAAGAGGAGGACCTTGAAGAACAGAGGCTATGCCCAGTCTTGCAGGTACAAGCGGGTCCAGCAGAAGCATCACCTGGAGAACGAGAAGACCCAGCTTATCCAGCAGGTGGAACAGCTCAAGCAAGAGGTCTCCCGGCTGGCCAGAGAAAGAGACGCCTACAAGCTCAAGTGCGAGAAACTGGCCAGCAACGGCTTCAGAGAGGCCGGCTCCACCAGTGACAACCCGTCTTCTCCCGAGTTCTTCATGTGAGTCCTTTAAAAAAAACAAAAAACCAACCAACTGAGCTTTCCCCCCCTCCCCACTCACCCTCACTTGCCCCCCTCTCCCATCCGCTGACATCTCCATCCATGTCCCCTCTTGAGCAGAGAGAGAGAGAGAGAAAGAAAGAGAGTCAGAAGGAGAAAGGCCAGGCCTGGGGGGCGGCGGCGGGGTTGCCTGTCATCCATGACTTCGCGGTCTGCTTGCAACCTTCGCGTCTTATTCTAGGTTAGCTGTGAAGATCGGAGGGGGAGGGGAGGGAAGCAACTTAGCCTGGTAGTTGGGCCAGCTAGAGAGGGAAAGGTGGAAGCGATGGGGGTGGGGCGGGGGAGAGGGGAAAAAAAAGGACTGGTTGCAGAAGGAAAATGTTTTATACCAATCGATTGCTTGCTTGTAGAACTTTATCCTGGACTTTGCAAAACAAAGGGATGGGCCCCGGACAAGCCATCTAGAATATCTGCTTTGGAGTTTTGTTTTGTTTTTAAAAAGGAAGAAAAAAATAATAAAGAGGGCGAATGCACAAAAGTGAGACCCGGACAAATGCAGAGAGAGGACGATAAATGCAAGCTTCGTGTGTGTTGCCTGCCTTGAGAGAGTTTGACAGAATTCAGATGGGACGTTTCTTGCAAGAGAGGAAAGGGCGAGAACCAAGACCTCTCCTCGGTTTTATTGCCTGCTTGATTATATAGGAGAAAAAAAAGTTACAAAAAATCTGCATTAAAAATATTAATCCTGCATGCTGGACATGTATGGTAACTTCTATTTTGTACCATTTTTTTTTCTTGTTTAACTTTTCGCATGTCGTTGATCATCGACCATAGCTCCCTCCTCCCGTTGTTACTGTGTTTTGTTTTTTCATTGAGTAAGACTATGTCAGGAGTTTATCTCTCTATATAAAAGCCCTCTTTCTACTGCTCGTGCAATTGTTTGTTCCTATTCTCTTTCTTTTTTTAAAATGAAAAAGTCTGGGCCCAATCCACCGGGAAGGTCTCCCAGTGCCATTAATGGGGGCTGCTGCGCAAACAGCACCCTTGGGTGGATTGGGCCCCGGGTTAAGCTTGTAAATATCGGCCATTTCCACCCGCACAGCGGAGGGAAAAATAAAAGGAAAAAAACCCAACAGGAGAACATTTCAGCAGGCTGGTTATCGCTGGTTACGGTCGTTCCTTAGGCCAAAACAATGACTTACGCATAAATAAGGTTTCTGGGCATTTTTGCATTCAGAAAACAACTTTGTATATTTGGGGCACTTTTTCAAGTTGTAACTCTTTTTTTTTTTTAACCTTTAGTTTTCATTTTGGTTTTTGTTGGTTGGGGCACAGAATGTCAAACCTAACCTCGACGCCCCCCCCCCTAACTTTGGAAGTCAAATCTGCCGCCATCGGTGGCATAAACTCCATTGGGCTGCATTAGACTTAAATGTCCGAGGAGGCAGGAATGTATATATAACGAGGCAGTAAGTTAGTGGAAGGGGCGGTGGGCCACCTCCATGTATGGGCGGCGGCCCATTACTCTCTACCCGTCTTTTGTCCTGGGCACCTGATTTCCTCGTCCGCCCAGGAACAGGGACAAGAGCTTCGAGGGCCCTGTTCCCGCCCCCGCCCCCCGTCCACCCAGCAACAATTGGCCGCTTCATTTCTTCGAGCCGAAAGATCGCAGAGGCCGCGTCCTTAGCAGCTCACGTGCTTGAGTTGTGATTGGAGTTCAGTTGATCGGTGCAAAAATCTGAATGAATTCTGGATGCACGGGGGGGGCCGGGGGGTGAGGGGAGAAGGAACCGGCTCCTTTTAAAACATGCCTGTTTGGAGGGGGGTATATTCCCCCCTTTCGCGTGTATTCTTTTGCCAACTTCAATCAGCCAGTGAGAGTTTAGCCAAATTTTCTTCCCAACTTGGTAAAGTAATAATATTTTGGAGTCTTATGTTTTTGGTTTTTTTCTTTTCTTTTTTGGGTTTATTTTTTTTCCTCCTGCAGGTCAGTAAAAGGATTTTATGTTGCACTGACAAAAAAAATACCAAAATGAAAACTTTTTTTTTTAATGTTTTAGTTTCCTTTTAGGGATTTGCTGGCACTGCTGGCCGGATGCATTTTAAGTTTGTATTAGTTTATAAATTAACAGTAATACCAAGAATCGTCATAAATGAAGAGCATGGTGCTTGCCGTTTTAAATATTGTGGGTATTTAGTCATGCATCAGGAAAAAAAAGACCCCCCTCAAGCTTTATGGGTTTTTACGGATTCAACTGTGTTGAAGTCGCAAGGTTACAGCTGCAGAAAAAAACAAAAATTCTTTTTATTTCATGTAAAAGTTCTGAAGGGATCAATTTCAAATCCTGCTTATGATATGAAAAAAATATTAAAAGAAAACCTCTTGGTCTTATTGTAGTTTTATTCAGACTGGTTTCTGTTTGTTTGTTTTCCCTGGTAATTAAAATTGTTTCCTATTTTGCTTACTAATACCAGTGAAATGGCATTTTCTTTTTTTGGGAGGGGTGTGTTTTTCTCCTAGAAACAAATTTGGGCCCCTCCTCCCCTGTATTTAAGTAGCCGGGCTACCGATCTCGAGAAATATATGCAAGGAACACTAAGAGGGAGGGCGGGGCCGTGAACCTAGATCCTGGGCGCATTTATTTTCGGAATAGGCCCGGCTGCTTTCGATGAGGCCGATGTCAAAATATGTGTGAATAGGCTTACAGTCTTCAGAATCCAAGAAGAGCCAAAAGGCTCTTCTTCTCCCCCCCCCCAAAAAAAAGCCCCCTACTTTTGTAGTGAGTGACAGGTTGGCTCCGTGGGCAAGAGAGACTTTAGAGACTTTATTTACCCTTTTGCAACATTTGAAGTCATTTCAAGAGGTGCCCCACACCCATTGCCTGGGAACTGTGAAGGAGTGCAAAGAGTTTCCCCTGTACAGGTGCCCGGGACCAGGAAGGACCCTCCCACCCGCCGTGTCCTGGGCTTCAGGGGCTGGTTGGGGGAGGAGGGAGCATCTTTTGGCCCGCCGCAGCCCCAGATTCCTCTGGAAGGTGAGCCGGACTCATAGCCCCGGGTGCTCGGCCACGGGAAGGCCTGGGTGGGACGTGCCATGTATATCCAGCCCCGAGGGTCGGTCCTTAGTAGTGCTGAGCCACACCGTGGTGCAAAGAGCTCCTCGTCGAGGCGACTGAAGCGCCACACATCCTCCCCCCCCCCCCCCCCCATTCAAAGAAATCCAGAAGGCTGAGCAGGCAGGCCTGCGAGATGCCAGTGCAACCACCAGAAGGCCCCAGAAAATGGCCCGGGGACTCAGCCTCTCCTAGGGGGCGGTCGGTCAGGAGACTGCAACCCTCAATCCTTGTCCGGGGAGGGGGCGCAGAAATCCGGGCCGATCGGCCTGGCAGCTTTGCATCAGTTCGTTCGGGTTCCCCTTTTCCTCCCGTCTCCTGCAAAGTAACAGCGGGTGTGCACACAAAACAGAAACTTTCCTCTGCGGAGCAACACGTGGGCCCGGCGGGTGTGCCGCTCTCCCGTGGCTTTCGGGGGAGAGCTTCTCCCGCCCTGCTCCTCCGGAGGCAAACGCTGCCCTTCCGAAGCCCCCCTCCTCCTCCACTAGGGCGTCTGTCTGTCCCCCGATCCAGCCCTTTCCAGAAGGGAGCTCGGCCCCCAGGAGCGCATCTTCCTCTTCCCCAGTCGTCCTTTCCTGCTCGAAGGAGCCTCGGCTTTCCCGGACAACCCCTGGTGCTGGGAGCAGGGCCTGCGGGAGAGAGCCAGCCGGCTTCCCTCCAGCTTGACAGGAAACGAGGGAATGGCCACACAGTTGCCCAGTGGCAGAGTGCAAGCTAGAACACATCACATCACACCCAACGCGCAGGGGTAGAAAAGCAAATAAAAGATCTGCGCTCCAGGGCTGAATCTGAAGTCGGGGAAGTCGAGGGGAGAAGACTGGGCCTCGTTCCCCCGGTGTTCAGGGTGCAAGGCCAGGCCAGCGGCCTTCCAAGGGTGTGTGTCTGTGAGTGGTAGGTGAGACACACTGGTGTCCACAGACTGTTCTGTCGACGGGCCTTTGCCTTCCCCCTGAGACCTCCCCCCCCCCCCCCACACGCCCCCCCCACGTCACAGAGCCGGAAGCAGCTTTCCAACCAGCGTCGCCAGGGCTGCAGTCTGATGTTCGAGACCCCCCTTCATCCTGCTCGGATCCCACTGAGCGCAACGGGATTTTCGTGCAGAGGACCTCCCAAACGCCCCCCCCTCCCGACCTGAAGCTCACTGCAGGTTGGCCGGCTTGGGGGAGTCCCAGGCAGCAGCCGCTCCTCTCTGCGCGTGTTCACTTTTCCCTCCTCCGAAAAGCAGAATGAGAAACTTTTAAATGTCCCAGTCGGGAAGAAAGAGAGACTCCCTTGCCTATTTCGGGGTGATGGTGGTGGTGGTGAAGAGCGGGGAGGCAACGCAGTTAAGGCAAAAGCCCTTGCCCGCTACCGATTCCCGGGGTAGATCCAGCACGCTGTGGGGAGCAGGTGCGTGGAGACCCTGCGGTCTCACACTGGCGCCCAGGTAATTCCGGAGGCCCTCTGCGAGCCAGCTCCCGGCCGTGGAAGCTAAAGCAACGGGGGCTGGGAGAGGCAGGGCCAGGAGGGGGCCAGGACCTCGTCCCTCTCCCCCCCCCTTGCCAAGGGAGGCACGCTCGGGCTGTCGGGAGGCCGGAGAGGAATATCGTTCGTGGGAACTGCCAGCGCATATTAATGTCCCCTCATGCATGCTCTGAATAAATCACTGCGGCTAATGGAGCGACACTTTTTTTTCCAGGCAGCGAGGCCTCGGCGAAGCACACAAGAGGGCCCTTTAGGCGCCCGGATTCCCGTCCGAGAACTGTGCCAGTGGGCAGGCCCGAGGGCAGAGGTCCGCTCCCGCGCTGTACCAGGAGGTGCCCTTGCGGTGGGGCGGCGCTGCTCTGGGTGAATTCTAATCGCTCTGATTTTTAAACAATATATCCGGTCAAACTTTGGGGGATAAGAGGTCACCGGGGAGGCTTGCCCGGGAAGTCTTCCGGCTCTGGCAAGGGATCTCCTGGATCTCATTCAGCTGGAGCCCAGCTGAGATCTCCCGGGGTGGAAGGACGCGGGTCTCGGGGCAGCAGCAGCCCCTTCGCTTTCTGCACGGAGAGGGAAGCGGATCGCTGGCAGCCTGGCCGTGGCGACGGGCAAGGCGACTTTGAGCAGGGAAAGCAGCCCTCGCGATGGGAGGCCTGATGGGAAGCCTCTCCTCCCCCCCCCCGCTCGAAGAGCAGCAGACGGACACGCGCCCCACAGAAGCGGTCAGTCCAGCCAGGCAGAAGCGCCCCGGAGGAAGTGAAACTTTGCTCTGGAAACATGGCGGGGGGGGGGCGGGGGGGAGAAGTGCTGTTAGCTGGTCAAGTTCGACGCTTCAGAATACATCTTGGAAGAAAATCGAGAAATGAACTTGAAGCGGGGAGGGGGGGGGAGGACACACATCTCCTGGGCGTTTGTCAAAACGGCTTCCAGGCAGAGCACGGGGTCTTTGCACCAGGGGGGGAACCAGAGGAGCCTTGGCTCGCTGACCTCGGGTGGCCAGTAGGCCTGGAGGAAAAGGTACTTTCCCTTCCTCTAGAGGCTTCATGGGACATGAGGTACCAGGTGACCTTATTTTACCGCCGTGCCCTGAAAAGCTTCCACCGCCCGCCTTCCACCTAGTCACCCTCTGCTGAAGGGACAAGGAGGTGGACAGGCCCAAAGGCGGACTCAGGAGAAGGCAGCTTCAGGGGTCCACAGAGGCCAGGGACAGCCCGTGTGTTGTTGGACAGGGCGGTGCCAGGTAGGCCCGGGGTGGGATGGGGCTTCGCCCTAGGCGTTTGGCACGAGTCGAGAAACAGGCCAGATTCATAACCGGACGGAGAGAGAATCACTCCGTGCGCTGCAGTGCTGCCCCCGGCCCGAGACTAGATGCACCTGTCAAAAGGACCTGGAAAGACCGACCCGCTGGTTTCTTCTCCCTCCTTCTTTCGTCTTTTTCTTTCCCTCCAGGTTAGGGGCTCGGAAGCAGCCCGTGAACAGTTTCTTCCGAAGAATGGGGGCCCTTCCCGTCCAGTCTCTCCGGCTGCTGCCTCGGGTTGCCAACTACCCGGAGGGGGGAGGGAATGTCCTGGCTCTTTAACAAAGACTTAACAGGGTGTTTTTTATTCCAAGGGATGATTCCCCCCCCCCATTCCAGGAAAAGCCTCAGCTGCCCATTTCCAAGGGTCAGGACATTTTCCCCTCCCGGTCAGTTGGCAACCCTACTGGGGCCAGGCGACCCGTGGCCTCCACTCTCCCGTCCCCCTCGCGGCCCTTCATTTCCAGGCTGGCCCCATCTGGCGCGGTAGACAGTCTCGGGGGGGAACTCTCCAGCGGCCGAGGGGTTAACCTCTCCGGAAAGATCTCTCGGCGGGGCCGAGTGCAAATCCTGACCGTGTTTACCCTTCGCGGCACTCTCGGTTTCTTCGGGATTGGCAAGAGCTGTTGACACACGAGCATCCGCTGGGAAGAGGAGGGCGCCCGGGGTCTCTTCCTCCCCGCTTCCTGCCCCCCCCCCCGCAGCCACCCAGTCAACTCCAGGACGTTAACAGGCCGATCCTGATGCCAGCGGATTCGGAAGCATAGGGGGGGGGGGAGGGCCTGGGATAGCCCGATCTCATCAGACCCCGGAAACTAAGCAGGGTTGGTACTGGGAAGGGAGACGGCCAAGAAAGGCCCTGCAGACGAAGGCCGTAGCCACCCACCTCTGCTCCTCACTTGCCTTGCAAGCCCCCCTGCCGGGATCGCCACAACTCGGCTGCGGTCTGGCGGCACTTTACAGACACGCACACCTGGAACTGAGCCCTGGAAGGACGCAGGGAGACTTACTTCTCTGTAAAGACGTGTAGGGGCTGGCTGCAAGCGTGGGTGTACTTAGGATCTGGACAGGCACCAGCCCCTAACTTTAAACAATAAATAAATCCGGAGCGGCGTGCGGACTCTTAACACCCCCTGGCCAGTGTTCCCTCTAAGCTGAGTTAGTGTGAGCTAGCTCACAGTTTTTTAGCCTCCAGCTCACACCTTTTTGTCTTAGCTCAGGAAAGATGGCTACAGAGCAAACTAATTTCCGCAGCTGCCAAATCGCTCACTCACAACTTTAATGCCAGGAGCTCACAAAGTAGAATTTTTGCTCACAAGACTCCACAGCTTAGAGGGAACATTGCCCCTGGCTGCCCTGATCTTTAATTCCATGCTGGTTACATCCTGGGCGCTGAGGGAAAGGCAGCCTTTGCCCAGGCACCGCGTGGCAGGTTTCTGTAGCGCTGCTGTTACTGTTCAGGCACATTCTCTTACAGTCCTTCTAACAACCTGGTAAGGTAGGCCACGGGTTTCCATGCTGCAGTGGGGGAAGCACTTATTGTTCCTCTCTGAG